CGCTCGACGAGCTAATATTCGGAGAGTTAACAGAGTTTCAAATGCAGGCAGGGCCGTCATTTGCTCGCATCCGCTTGCGAGAATGTGCCGCGTTCGGTTAGACAAAGAAAAATCGCTCGCGGGTTCGATCATCGTCTCGTTTCACGATACACATCGATCAATTCCAATAATTCAACACTACTATCGGTATCGAAGGATATATCAAAAATATGTACTGAATAAAATGCAAAAAATAGGGATTCCATGAAAACTTTTTCCTCGTATGTTTTACAGGCGTAACTAGGATTTTTTTTAGGCGAACTGGGTACCCTGGAATTACTGAGTTTGAGATATAGGAATTTGGGGATTTTTGGGATTTGACGAACGGGAATTTGGGAATTTAGAGATTTAGAGATTTGGGAATTTTTGGGATTTAACGAATGGTAATTTGGGGATTGGGGGATTTGGGGATTTGGGGATTTGGGGATTTGGGGATTTGGGGATTTGGGGATTTGGGGATTTGGGGATTTGGGGATTTGGGGATTTGGGGATTTGGGGATTTGGGGATTTGGGGATTTGGGGATTTGGGGATTTGGGGATTTGGGGATTTGGGGATTTGGGGATTTGGGGATTTGGGGATTTGGGGATTTGGGAATTTGGAAATTTGGGAATTTGGGAATTTGGGAATTTGAGAATTTGGGGATTTGGGAATTTCGAGAACTGGAAAATTGGGAAATTGGGGATTTTGGAATTTGAGGATTTGGAGATTTGGGGATTAGGGGATTTGGAGATTTGGAGATTTGGAGATTTGGAGATTTAGAGAACTGGAAATTTGGAAATTTGGGGATTTGGGGATTTGGGGTTTTGGAGAATTAGGAATTTGGGAATTTGGGAATTTAGAAATTTGGAAAACTGGAAAATTGGAAATTTGGGGATTTGGGGATTTGGGAATTTGGGAATTTGGGAATTTGGGGATTTGGAGAATTGGGGATTTGGGGACTTGGAACATTGGAAGTTTGAGAATGTGGACATTTAGAGATTTAGGGATTTGGGGATTTGGGGATTTGGGGATTTGGGGATTTGGGGACTTAGGAATTTAGGGATTTAGAAATTTAGGGATTTAGGGATTAAAGAACTTAGGGATTTGGGAATTTGAAGATTTGACGATTTGAATACTTTCAAATTTGCAAATTTCAGGACTTAGAAAAGTAGAGATTTGTAATCTTGGAAATTTGAGGATCTGGGGACTTGGGATGTGACAATTTGAGGATTTGAGAATTTGAGGGTTTGGAAATATGAGAACTTGTGAATTTTTATATCTGAAAGATTGAAAATTTTGAAAGTTAGAAAATAGATTTTAAAATTCTAAATTTGTAATACAAGCGATACTCTATATTCCTATTTGAGTATTTGGGGATGTGACAATTTTAGAACTTGAGGATTTGAAGATATAAAAACTTGCAAATTATTGATATTTAAGAGATCGAAAATTTTGAAATGTAGTTTAGAAATCTGAAAATTTTGAAACTGAAAATTTGGAAGTTGTGAATCTAGGAAATAGATTTTGAAATTCTAAATTTGTAACACAAGCTATACTCTATATTCCCATATCCCAAGTTCGAAACCCTATTTTGAGTCCTGCATTCATGCCAATGTCCACTCGATCACAACTGAGGGCTCGAGTTATTCCGTCCTCGTTCAAAAAGGGCGCCTATCCATAGAGCACGAATTTTTTTTAAATAATATTTCTCCATAACTGATAATTTTAAATTAACCTCTCGTTGACAGCACTTTCCACGAAAATTTATACGATGACACTGTATGAATGCTAGAAAAAGAGATATCGTAGAGTAGAATATCGTAGGTTAAAAAACAGCGGGCGTTTTGTAGCGATACAACATGATCATTAAACGCGAAAAACCAAAAAGAAGAGACGAAAGAAGAAACGAAAAGCCAAAGAGGTACGGTGAAAGGTAAAGAGAAATCAATGCGTAATGCCGGTATCGACGATCGTATAAATGAAAAGTCAGCAGGATGCCAAACGGGGGCTCGTTTGCAAAACGGACGATAAAGAATTCCCATACGATACACGGTTCGCCTCGTGAGCCCAGGGAAAAAAAAATCAAGCGCGGATAGGAGAGAGAGACCACGGGGGATGGGGGTAGCAGCCAGAAGAGAGGGATGCTGGATTACCACCGGCGGAATTAAAGATTCACAGGCGTGTTTCGCAGTTTTCGTTCGAGCGGCCCTGCATGCGAATCCCCGAGCGGGCATATTAGGTGGAGGCACGCAGTTAGGCAATAACCGCTGTCAATAGAACCCGGCCTCTCCTCCTCTCCTGGAGTGGCCCCCACTCGAAAATGCTACTCGCTAAATTAGGTAGGTTATATGGGCTTCGTTTCATTTGCGAGCAAACTTTAATAAACGCTAAAATTGCGTAAAAGAGCAAGGTTTTCAGACGAGCAAATCAGGATCGGGGGTAGGAGGGAGGTGATCCCTCCTCGTCGACGGCCTCCGCGTATACATACGGACCAAGAGTTCATCCGCAGTTGCTTCGGGGCCGAATTGCAATTTTTTCCTTTCTTTTTCTTCTTCTTCTCGTCACGCGCGAGCCGAATCCTGTTTACCAAGGAATGTAGACGAATGTACCCTCGTCTTTTTTAATTCTGAGGAAGGGTAACTGACGATGGGGTTGCACGTGAAACAATTTCTAAACTGACTTCTGTAAAAACGGTGCAAAACTTTATTTTGTTCTTCAAGATTGTTCTTTAAGTCAACTCTGGATCGTTTGAGATCTTTACACAATTTATATTATTAGTTTAGCAAGTTAGTTTAGTAACTTTAGCAAATTTTTGCGAATATTTAAAGGTAACAAGTATCTAATGTTAATGACATGATTTTTTATGAATCTGTATAGAAAGTTAAAATGTTCTTCATAATCTATTTCGTAACTCTCATTAATATTTCACATAACATTTAAAGTGAGTGTACACATTTGCAGTCAAGAAAATTATTTAATCTGTAAATGAAGAATAAATTATTTTGCAGAAAAATTTGCGAGTTCCACCGAAATTTTCTAACTTTAAAAATACGACTGATTTCATAAAAGATTTTTTTAAATATATTTATTGCTATATTTAAAAAATTATGTGTTCATTTATTTCCTGAATAACTAATGTGAACGTGTTTCGTTTTAATTTTAAAGTCGTGAGATCTTCCTCGTGGCCAAAGGTTACAGCGCCATATTTTACTTCCTTTTTATATTTTAAGAATTGGTGCCGCTGGGTTATAAAACTTGAAGAAATATTTGCTTCTACTCGTCCTGAGTAATTTAACTTGTTTGCGAGTTAAATTGCATTACAAGTTTTTTATAAATAAGTCTTCCTCTCTCAAGTTTAAATTGATAATTATAATGATCAGGGAATTGTAATTATAATTTGAATATCAGTTGTAATAATTGTCGCTGAAATTTTTTATTGCCTTTTTCTATTGTTAGAAACATCGCATATATTTGTGCATTAATTTTGTGTAAATATATATTGTTTTATAACTGAAATTTCATTCGTGTTTCAATCTTTAATTATGGCAGAGTAACAATCTAAGTTGAAGAAATTATATGCAGAAAGATAGTTTATTGTAAAGTGTACATTTTAAAGAGTTGAAAATATTTTGTAAACGTTATTATTATATGTTTTTTAAAATCCACATTTACGCGCATCTTCTCTTTAAAAATGATGCTATTAACACCATCGAGCGGTTAGCGATGGTACCAAAAAATAAAAAATTGTAATGTACCTCAAATTTAGCAATCTTTACACTTTTCAATTAAACTAATATAATATCATTCTAATCTGTGGTGAAAACTCTTTTTTTCAAAAAATGATACATGTGAGAATGATTTTTGACATAATTCATATCTTGGGATCCACGGAATATTTCTGCATAATGTCGCCATCTAACGGTAAGAGATGAGAACTAATTAAAGTACAGTTTCAAAAACGTGTAGTTCATCCTGTTCGCCGGAGAGATGGCGCCATTTGTTCAATTTTTGTGGCGACACCTATTTCCGGCTTGAAAGCGCGCCGGAAAGTGCATTTCCGCGCGTAGGACTTCCATTCTCTCGTGGAACGCTTAGGCGAGCAGACGCATTTTTACGGTTATACAGCTTTAGTTTAACTCTGCGATTTTTGTAATAGTGCGCGAAACGTGTGTACAGACTATTTAGCCCGCACTGATATTGTTACCATTTATTGTTATTAAATATAATCGTTAATCATTGTTATTAAATTTAAACGCAGTGAAACTTATTTACCCCTTCGCACGTCGGTAAAGTAGAGATTCCTATTTCCCGAAGCAGAACTCTACACTTTTGTGGTGATCGTCGGAGTTGTCGTCGATCAAGAGGAATTCTATTTTCAAGCCATCGATAAAGAAGAATTTTATTTGTATTTGATATTCAATTTTATTTATGTTCAATTGTATTTTAAAAAACAAATCGTTCGTTATTCATTCCATAATCAAATCTGAATTGAAAACGACATATTTCAAAATCAATTTCAATAAATCAGTTATTTTTGAAAGTATTAATTAATTGACTATTTTAAATATAGAAAAACACTCTCTATACTTTTCTAAAAGCTCAATTAATATTGATTTTATTAATTAATATCCTATACATTTATTACATATTTATTAATATCGATTTTATGCAATATAGCAATATATTCCACGGTCTGAAAATGAACATTATGTGTTCAGAACATGTCGCACTCTATATTATGCCTTGTCGATAATATAGGAAACATTCCTTTTTAAAAAAGAACCTTGTCTGCAAAATTTAGCCAAAATCGAAACATAACAATATTCCAAAGTTTCCCCCAATCCACTAAAAGCATCAACGAAAATTACATTTTATAACAACCGCAGTAAAACTAATAACAAATTGTTATCGATTCCTGTGAACTAGGCATAAGTTTGATGCAGTAACTAGTGGTGAAAATCCCTCCCTCTTGACCTTTCTTTTCCTAGGGAAATCAGATTTGCACTTGAGTGTACAAATTATGCAGTTGTCACTTTACTTCAGATAGATGTTCCAATTTTAACACGTATGACATTTGAAACGGTGCTTTTATTTAAATAAATTACTTTTTTCTACCTTTCGAAAATGAGTTTGGTTGCATATGGGAGTAGCGATGAAAGTTCAGACGAGGAAGAAAATAATTCTGACACCAATAATGAAAACATAACTGTAATTGAAAGTGCAACCATTCAACAAACAAGTGACAAATTATGTTTACCTGCTCCAAAACTTGTAGAAAATAATAATGAAAATGATGTTACTACGGATTCAGATGACACATGCTCTGAAAAAATACATTTTGATAAGTTACCCAAACCCAAAAGTTTAATAACTGAAGCAGAGGATATAATAGAAGAGGATGATATTCCTTTGAAAAAAGAGATTGAATTGAAACCTGAAAAGCCAATAAAGAGGGATCGTGCACCAGTTAAAATAACTGTTCCTTCCTTATCTGATGTATGAATAGTTATTATCCTATCGATACAACTTTATTTTCCAATATAAATATTTTAAAAACTTTGAATTAATATATAATAATCTTATATCATTTTTACATTACAGTTTAAAGATCTTGAAGAGGAAAATGAAGAAAAAGCTAATAGAATTAAACCATCAAATGTAAGTGTATTATGATTATATCTATGTATCATGTATAACAAAATTAATTTTTCTTTAAAATTTTAGAAAGGTACCAAGCTTTTTGCTTTGTTACCACCACCAAAAGGAGTTGAATTAAAAAGTACCAGTAACTTAGTACCTAGCATTGTTAATAAAACAGCAGCAAAAATAAATAAAGAAAATGTTAGTATCAATGAGGAAACAAGAAATGATTCATCTACAAAAAAGATAGCAAAACCTGCAACAAAAATTTCTATGGATATACATTCTGACTCAAATTCTGAGGGTGAAGATGATACAACTGTAAATAGTAATAGTAGTTCTGCTACTGATTTCTTTGCTCTGTCAGCAACTGATACTATACTTGATCCTGTTGTATCAGAATCTTTTGAAAGTAAGACAGATTTAAAACATGCATCACGTAGCAGTGATTCAGAAATAAAGCATGATTCAAAAGATGTTTGTACTAATAATACCCAGAAAACATTAGTGAGTAATGTTATGAACTTACCAAGAGAAGAAATATTACTTAAAAATAAAGCAGAAGTGGGTCCAAAGTTACCTGTACCTGAGCAAGAATATAACATTGATACAGAAGGTAATGTGGCTTTTGATGACAAAGCTATTGAGTACCTTTGTGGAAGAAGAGGAGTAAAACGAAAACCAAAAGAAATTGAAGAATTAAATATTATTGAAATAAATGGAGAAGACATTAAACCAGATGAAAGAGAATGGCTAGTAAAAGCATTAACAGAGGAGCCTGTTCAAAGACCAGTTTCTATGCAAGGTGGTGGAGTTAATTCTCAGTCCAAAAAGAAACACCAAATAACATATTTGGCTCATCAAGCTAAGGCAATGGAAATGGAATTAAAGAATCAGTGGGCGCAAAATAGATTGACAAGAAAACAGACACAATCGAAATATGGTTTCTAAATAAAAAGACTTGTACAATAACAAATATATTACACTTTGTCTTTATTTTTATATAAAAATGAAAAATAGGAGTACATAATTGTAGTTATCATTATAGCAATAGTTATAACTATCACTCAAGAATAACTTGTTTTCTCTAGAAATGCTTTTTCTAAGGTTTCATATTCTTTTCGTTTCACTTCAAGTAAAGCTTTAGCTTGCAGTAAATTTGGTGGCAAATCACCATACTGACTAAGATATTGATTAAGTTCTGCTAATTCCCCTGACATTTCTAAATATTTATGATATTTATTTAATATCTTTTGTGGATAAAGATCTTCAATTTGCATATCCATTAACTCAGCTTCCAATTTTTTTGCAGTTTGTTCATATTCCTTTAACTTTACCATTAATGAAACACGATTACAATAATTATCTTCTTGTTCTTTACGAGCATCTTCAATGAAGGATTCAACAGAATTTACAGCTTCTTGTAATGAGTTAAGTTTTTTTGTAAATATATTATGTTTCCTAAAAAGATCATCATGTAATAATGATAATTGTTTTTCCTCGCGTTGTTTTCTCTTCTCTTCTATTTTTTCTCTTTCCCTTACTATATTTAATGTAACATCGTTAAAGTCAGACAGTTTTGCGAACTTCATAATTAAAGCTATCTTTCTTAATCCTTCTTTAATATCATTAGGTAAAGTTTGTACTTCCAAATTCAATTTGTCCAACAATGGTAAAATTTCTTTTCCAAATGCAATATGTTCTTCATTAGTTTCTAATATTGCTCTTTGTAAAATTTGAAGTAATGACTGCTCTTCTGGTAAAATAACATCTCGGTACCTTACATTTGAAGCAGTACTTGAAACAGAATCATTCTGTGAAAATGATTCTACCTGTTGTTGAAAATTTATTAAAGATTACTGTAATATGATATGTTTTTCTTTCAATAATTTATTTAGATGTAAATTTCATAACTATTAAAACAATTTACCTCGCTGATGTTCTCCATATTAAATTCAAAACACTGATTCTTATTACATTTAAAACGCTATTCATTAATTCTTAAATATTTCTCTCAGGTTTTTTATTTCATGAATTTAACATTAAAGTAAAATTCACTTTCAAAAACTGTCGCAACATCCATTATGAAACAAGTTTCTAAAATATTTAAATATTTCGCGAATTTAGGATTCGTTTTCACGCAAACTTCAAAGAAATGAAGGAGAAACAACTTTCTTAGTAACTATATTTATCAGTGGAAAATGCACATGTGCATCGCGGTATTAGTACATCTGATGACAGCTAGCTTATATAAGTTAACAGTAGCATGTATTCATAAATCGTTATTTAAACACACAATTTTTATTGCCTCTATACGTCATGAAAATTCGCACCTAGACCGAATTCCGGTAACGGCCGCCTGGAAACATATGACTGTGTATGAAACGCTGTTGCTGTTGTTCAAGTGTGCGCTTCCATTGACAGTTATTTGTTTTCCGTAAGGATAACGTTTACAAAACCCTGAATGAATAAATTTATTTGACTCAAAAATAACTGAAACCAACAAGTATCAGTGCCATCGCACTGTATACACGTACACGGTGATATCAAAAGGAGAATTTCATCAAACTTTAACTACAATTACCGAAAAAAAGTGGTTAGAACGCAACAATGAGTGACGATCAGGCAAACGAACTGAGTGAAACAGTTGAGGTAAGTAGGAATGAAATTTATTTTCAAGTCTATTTTTTCTTGACCAATTTCTCAACAAAGAAATACTAATGTTTAGTGATTTGCTATATCTGATTTCGCCTTGTAAACGTAACTGTAAATGGTTCATACTATACATAAAATATATTTGCATGTATAATATGTAATTGTTAAATAAAAGAAATTTTTTATTTTAGTTGTCCTCAAACGATATTGAGAAACTAGAAGAAGCAAAGTTGCGAGCAAAGTTTCCCAATACTGGACGTCCAATAAGTGGACATTCTGCATTTTTGCAGAAAAGGCTAGCTAAAGGGGTAAAAATATAAATTAGTAATATTTAAGTAAACATAAATGCAATACTATTATACTATAAGATTAAAATTTCCTAAATTGCATATCAACTATTTGCAGCAAAAATATTTCGATTCTGGGGATTATCAAATGGCAAAACAAAAATATACAGCGAAACCAAAGCCAGCTGGTGTTTTGCCAACAGGTGATGCTATACCTACACCAGAAACTGTACCTCAACGAAAAACATCCATTATTCAACAAAAATTCAATACAACAAGTACTTCTTAAAGTTTTATAACGTTTTCAAAGTATTACAACTCCAGTGATATAATGTGGTTATAATTCAATCTGAATTTTAAACAGCCTATATTGTATGAATGGTATTATTTGAAAAACTGAATTCTTATAATGCTTCTTCAGTGCTTGTTCAATGACTGATGCATTGTTGCGAAAATCTTGAGACCAAGATAATACATATAATTTGTAGTATACTGTGTGCCATAAAAGCATTTCTTGAGAATTACACTCAAAAAAACTTTTGGCACCTAAAAATGTTACAGTAATTTATGACAATATATTATAATTCTAATTTTCGTTTATCAAAATTGAGAGTATTAAACAGCATACATATAGATATATTGTTTTGTTATCTGAGTTACTTTTTAGAAACAGCAATAAATTTGCACCTTAGATTCATAAACATGAAAGTAGAATTTCAAAATTTATTATAAAAATAAGTAATAAAATTGTATAATTAGTGATACAAGGTAAAACTACAATTAATAACAAAAGAGGATAACGTGAATGTAACCACTTGTATATGCAATAGAGTTTCAGGATAAGACATTATACAGATCTGCATTTCCAAAGTTGCTGTGATGCGCTTAGTAAGACTATTTTCTTATAAGATGTCAAATTGTCATAAGAATCTGTATGTAGCATAAAACAATTTTAAATATAGCAGTTGTTTTGGTTATTGTAAACTATATTAGTAATATAATGCAATTTGAACATACTAATATTTATTTAGTTACCTGTCCACTATATTTGGTAATAAAAATATAATTTTTTAAATAACCTTCTACGTATTAACCATCTATAATTATTTTTAATATGTGTGTTGAAGTTAATGAAAATATTAATAAATTTATTTTGTTGTATGAATAATAAAATATGCATTTGATAATACATTTACCTACATTTATTGTTAGAGTAATATGCACTTAAAAACAGTATTTAACAATACAGTATAGATTATATACAATATATTTATAAGCACATTCGAAAATTTTTTTTATTATTTTTATTTCTTAATAATATAATCTACACATAACAATTTAAACAAGTACTCAAGTAGTTACATATTTTAACATTCGTATATATATATATATTAATTATACAATTATACAACTTAATGTTTATTATCTAACTTAAGTAATGTTTAAGTACTGTTTTTGATTGTTGTATTGAATATTGTCATGTGTACCTAAATATAATTATAAGCAGTACAGTAGTATAGAATACATTTAATATACAATATTTTATATATGTATATATAATATCACTTATATTTTCATATTTCAATGTATAATTTCCCATGTTTCTCATTCAACACATTCATACCTATATAAAGACACTAATTTATTACATTTTGATAAATTCAACAATTTTAAAATTTCGTAATCAATTCAATAACGAACAGTAAATAGTGTAAATATTATTATCCAAAAATGTTCGCATTGATAACAAACAACTTTATCATAACAAGTCAGAAAACTTTGTACCAAAAGGTATATAAAATTTCTACTTTAGAGTTGTATTATGCTACACATATTCAACATATACATTTTATGTACATTACTTATTTAATATTAACTTGAAAAAATAATGTATATGTATATTGGAAATATCGTTATAGTTGTTGCTAGTTAAGTTTAATCTTGTGTTTGAGTAATCAGAAAATTGCTAATTACACAGGTACTGTAAATATTAAATTGTACGAAGTCACGTTGTTTTAAGTATTAGAGCATTTTCAAAACTTATACCAACTGCCACTTTATTATCTTCCTTGTGTGATTGAAATTTTTTGCATACATTTAATTGTACATTTCTTCTATCAGTTTTTCATACTTTTTATAAATGATGTTCCTCCTAATTTTGTATGTTGGTCCTAATTCTCCAGTAGGAATTGATAAGTCGTGAGGTAATATTTTGAATTTCTGTACTTTTTGTGCATTACTTAAAGCTTTAGTATTTGCTGCTTTAATAGCAGCATCAATTGCATTGTATACCTGAAACAAAATCGCACAATTTATGTATCAGTAGACAATACGTATTTAACATCTAAATTTATTTTTAATAGAACTTTTTAAAGTAAATTTTTCATGTAATGCTACTGAACTTACAAGAGGATCGCGTGTATTTAAAACATCCGTGACCGTCTTTGCTGTGCTACCAATGGACTTTAACCATTTTAAGGTATCTGGAGTGAATGTATCTTTTGGTTCACCGGTGTTGATATCCATATCAGTCTAAAAATGTAGAAGTAGTATTAATATTGAAATTTGATATAATTTACAATGAACGTGAAAATTCGTACTGCATTTTACCTTTAGCGTAACCAACATAGTAAGATATTTTCTTTTATCTCCAATTAATATAGCATTACTTAATGCTGGTAATTCAGATAATACTGAATGTTCAATAGGAACTGGTGGTATATTTTCTCCACCAGCAGTAATAATTAATTCTTTTATCCTTCCTGTACATTGGCAAATATGTGTTATTTAAACAACATTAATGAAATGAATAGATGCATATTTATTCTATAAAAAAATATTTACCTGTCACGTACAAAAATGCATCTGAATCAATTTTGCCTAGATCGCCGGAATGCAACCATCCTCCTTCGTCTATGACTTCTCTGGTTTTTTCTGGTTCATTTAAATATCCCATAAATACATGTCTACCACGCATACATATTTCTCCTTCGCCAGAGCTATCCGGCTTATCTAGTCTCGTATGAAAGCCGGGTAAAGTTACACCAACACCATCTAACCTGAATATCAATTTTGGATCGTATCACTCTTTAAATGTTACTTATAATTATCAAAGCAAAGATAATAAATAACAAATTGACTAAATGTTTACTTGTAACATTCGTTCAAATTTAAGGCGTGCCCACCACTGCATTCAGACATTCCGTATGCTTCTAGAATAAGTATATCTAGGCTCATAAAATATTGCTTAATTTCTCTGGATAAAGGTGCAGCAGCGGTAAAACACACTTGACACCTATCTAAACCAAGTGCTGCTCTTACTTTACTTAAAACTAGCCATCTAGCAAATACGTATCCCCAATTCTTGGTATCATTGCCTTGAAGTTTATTCGTATTATAATAAAGAGCTTGTGATTTTGCCCATGAACCGATCAGTGTTTTAACAAATCCATTGCTACGTGCAACTTCTTGCATTTTACTGTAAATCTTTTCCCATACTCTGGGTACACCTAAAACAATTGTAGGTCGCGCTAAAAGTAGAGTGTTGAGTAAACTGCCTTTAAGGGCATCTTTTGCAGCGAAATATACTGTGCCGCCTAAAAGCATGGTGCAATATATATCAAGAATCTGAAATCATTAAGAAATTATTGTATAAATTGTATAGTTCTATAAATTTATCATAAATTGTTTATATGGCTTTACCTGTGCAGCGACGTGAGATAACGGTAAATAGCTGATCAGAACATGTTTGTCGTCAATGGAGAATTTTGTAAAACGTAAAATACTTCGAGCATCTTGTAGAAGATTATCATGGGATAACATCACAGCCTTCGGTTTTCCAACTGTTCCCGACTGCAAATAAAATATGGTTTAATTTTCACCCGTACTCGTTGCATAGACTTAATCAACCAGAGAAAAACATTATTTTTACCGTATAAATCAGAGTACAACATTCATTCGCCGCAATTGTCTTCAAAACCTCGTTCAATTTGTCGTCAGATTCTTTCTGACCGATTTCCAGCAAATCTTTCCACTGAAAAGTAATTATTATTAAACATAGTCTGGATAAATTCATGTAGATGCTTATAAGATTACTTACGCTCAAAACACCTTTTTCTTTTGGAACATCGTCATACATGACGATCGCTTTCAAAAATGGTAAATTATCTTTTATTTTTAATATCTTTTCCAACTGTTTGTCGTCTTCGACGACTACGATATTAGACTGGCTGTTTTCAATACAATGTTGACATGCCTCAGGAGTATTTGTAGTGTATACTCCAACCGCAAATCCTCTAAAATGGAATAATATTTAGGTTCTTTGGTAAAGTCCGATGATGATCTTTAAAAAATATGTTAATCTTTACCCCGCGTATATAGCAGCAAGATCTGAAACGAACCATTCCGGAGTATTGAATCCTATAATAGCAACTCCGTGGTATCGTTCTAATCCCAATTTTAAAAATGCTTTGGCCACAGTTCTCACTTCCTGTTCGTATTCTCTACAAAATTAAGAGAAATTAAAATTTAACGTATCAACTTCTTCAGGTCGGAGATTTTCAAGATACAAACAAATTACGCGTCGTTTCGCTATTACACAAACCTGAAAGTGTAAGACTTTTTTTGTTTCGTATCAGGTCTCGCTATAAGTGCCATGCGATCTGGATAACTATTAGCCATTTGAGACATGCTTCCAGGAATCGACATGATCGGTGCCCAATGTTCTTCTCCTTTGGTCAACGTTATTTTCACTCGGCCATTTCGTTCCGTACTAACGCAGCTGTCAGCCGGCAGTACTTGATTTGGTCCTGCAATAAAAAATTATTAAATTAGAAATATTAATAAATCAAAATTTGCGGTCTTTCAAACTTTTTTCTATTACTCACCACTAAGTTCGTTTTCAGAACTCGGTGCATAATATAAACCTTCCTCTAACTCCTGTAATATTAAAAAAAATAATTAACCCCATCCCCTTACTCCATTATCGAACATAGGTAATTTACAATAGAATTTGAAAAATGTCTGAGCACTTTTATTTATAAAGTACAATGAAAATTAATTAATAGTTATTTAGTTTTAATTTACTCACTTTACTATTTATAGTAACTCCTTTTGCTATTCCGTTGGCTTGAGTCGGTTGCACCTCCGTCATGTTGTCTGAAATAATATTTTAAAATAAATAATTATTTCAAATACAATGTAGAAGTTGATTAATTATATAATGAATCAATTACAATTATATAATAAATCAACACAACAAAAACAGAATAAAATTTCTTATCATTTTAGTCATCCAAGATTTACACACGTGCAACGCTTGCATTACACGAGTTCTTATCAGCACAAGAATGTTCAGGTTTTTTATTGAATAACTTAATTATTTGTTTATACAAAAAAAAGTCATTAAACTTCTTTCATGATTCGAAAATAATGTTTTATCATGGTTCAACGCATGCAAATGTTCACGACTGAATATTTAATAGCTTCGACAACATATTTGTCAGTTTAAGACTATTATTTGTTGTTCTTTGTAACACTGTTAGAATTACTAACTCCTTGCGTAATTTATTCGTCAGATGCATTAAACACAGCTGTCTATACAGTGAGAATGTTACGTCTATTTTTTAATCAACAATTTTTGATCTTGCAAATTATAGTTGGACGTAAATTTTAAATTGGAGTATTAATCATTCGAGTAGATTTATTGTGTTTGAGTCAGACTCGTGCTTTAAGGGTCTTCGTGACCAAAACTGCGTTTAGACCAATTTTATTGTATATTTCGAAATACCGCATATATAATGGTAGCATTGCTAACATTATAAGTGTTATTTGAGAAGTTTGAGAGATTTGGAAATATTTGAAATTTGAGGCAATCTAAGAGAGGCACCGATCAGTATTGGTGCTAAATACCAAGAGATGGAAAATGACTTAATTTGCAATTTTGTTATGTCTTGCACCTGCTACTCACAAACATATTATTTCTCTTTTAAAAAAAGCAATGTCGTATATTAAAAATCATGGTGCAACCCCTCCAAGAAAATACATTGAAGTAAACTTTGTTTAGTTCGATTAGTATTTCAATTGAAATCGCAAATTCGTTTTACCCTAAATGTTATAATATATTTCCCTAAAATTTTAAAGGTAAATCGTAATTTTTCTAGAAGGCACTGGACAGTGTCGTTGAATTATGAACACTTGCAACGGTTTAACAGATTATATTTAATCCTCTGACAAACATTTACAACGAAAAAATTCCTTCGCGACTTCTTACTCATAAATCATTTTTTAATTATTAAAATTGACAATTTTCAGCTTGAGTTAAATGGCATGTTTAGTATGGTACCCTTACTTAACCCCTTGCACTATGGCTTATTTGTCAGGTGCGTCAGTCAAAACTGACTAATTAGGGCTACAATATTAATACAGACAAAAAAATGTGAAATGTTATGTCAATATGTTATTATGCAATCATTGACTATGCAAATTATAATTGGACTTGAACTTCAAATTGAAGCGTACTAAAAATGCGAGTAAAATTGATCACGGTCGAAGTACGAATGCGTCACGAGTCTGACTCGTCAAAATAGTGCAAGGGGTTAAACAGAAAAGTATCTTACCTTTGCTTCGCTAGGATCTAGGAACCTAGAAATTTAAATTTAATAGAAATTTAATTTCTATAAAAATATAAGAATTTTAAGGACTCTTGAACAGTGAAGCCTCGAAATTTAAAGGATTTAGGAATGTTAGAAATTCGGAATTGCGAGTATATAAAACGAAGTAAGAAACATATTCCTCCAATTATAATATATGATTAGTGTCATATCACTAGTCATGACTCCATGATAATGCAAACGCCCAGTCAGCTGAAGTCATTGCAGGAACTGGTGGAGATAATTTTAGGTCATTCACGAGAACAATACTGCATTTAACTGCATGCTATATTGCATAATACAAAGTGCGATCCACTTAAATTTTTCGTCCACTTAAAATTTCCATCAGTTTTTTTATGTGAGCAAGATTTGAAACTTAAGAATTTGTAAGATTGAAAAATTGAACTTCCTAATATGTATTCCTTCTATAGACTCGAATGCTATCATTCGTATGAATTTCTTCACCTTTAACCTGATGATGTATATTAAATTCCACGTTCATTTAGCGTTATCAGTCATTTTATCGTTACGTAAAGAATTATTTAAATATTCAGATTAATGATATATACATCTTGATAAACAGTCATTTTTTTTGGTTTATTAGATCGTATGACCGGTGGTCAAAGTGCGATTCTAGCACATTAATAATATTTGAATAAGTAATTGTGTATTCATAACAAAAACCTGCAATCATTTATTGGACCCTGTTATTAAAACCAGTAGCTCAAGTAATTATGTATAACTTTTATAACGATCTGATTATTAAAATCGTATACAGTCTCCCTCCATAGCATAAGTGCACTTAACCCTCAATCACTCCAACGCTAAAATGCCAATATAAATTACTCAGGTTTTAAGATCCAAAAAAAGCTTTTAAAAGGTGTTTATTTGTACTGGAACAAGTATCGTAATTCGCTGAGATTTACTTAAATTGAAGTCACGCGATCACTTGCCTTGACATTTGCATTCTTTTGATATCATGAGAAATGCTTCATTGAATGTACCGTCACAATTCAATGATACTTCCTAACTGATTATGACCTTTCTTTTCAGAAATAGGAGCTTAAAGGTTGATCTAAGTATTTCAGATAGCAGATATCTATGTCGTCACAATACGAAGTCTATGTTATATCTATTTCCAAATTCTGAGGTCTTTCACCAAATTCTGTTCCACACTTCTACTAGCAAATTCTGAAGTTCCACACTTCTGTTACCAAATTCCGAAGTTCAACATTTCTGTTAGCAAATTTCCATGCTGTGTCCCTAACTGTGTCTGGTCCCTATATTCCCAAGTCCCCATAGACGTAGATTCCTACATACTTTTTTCCTACATAACTCCGAATTCTAACTCCCCATATTTTTATGAGTAAAGAGTATAACCCTTGTATATAAGATTTCCCATATCCCTAAATTCCAGTCTACCTAATTTATATCTGTACCGTCATTATCAGGTCCATAAGTATAAACTATGGATCGTTTCACAATATTTCGTAAGAACTTTGCAATATCACGTGTTTTACCATCGTCAAATACTAAGTTTCTCATTCAACGTATGTAAGTAAGGCACCTGAGCGACGTTGTATAATTTGATTAGTCAATAACAAACATTTTAACACCTACCGACAATCAATTTTTAACACAGTTATTTTCATTTAACCGAAGATAAAAAAATGACATAAGTCCATAAATCACTAGCACTAAAATGCCATGAAAATGACGGGCGACTAAGAAAAAAATGAAGTCCAATAAGTTATGTAATTTTATACTTATCGCGTCCAAAGTGTATCTTTAGAAAAGAGGTAACAACAAAATTCTGTACATCGGAATCGTAAACAGTACTTTGATGTTACGCAATTGACAAGGCGCAAATAACAAAAAGTGCCGGTCTTATATGCAATTAATTCCAAATACGTGTTACGCCGTAAGTACAGTAATTTTCGAAAATGAAACGCAGGAAATCAAAACCGTAGTAAATATTCATTTCTGAAACACGTCACTCTTTTGTGTATTACTATAAATCAACCAAATGTACCGAACACGATTTATCCTAAAAAAAAATCATAGATAATACAATAATCGAACGCTATCTGCTTAGTTATTAAAATTAGGTTACTTTGTACTTTGCCCGGTCAAAAGTTAATCGCATTAAAATTTGCATAAAAAAACTTACAGGACTTTCTAATGCTGTTCGTAAACTTTATTGATTGTAAAAAATGTTAAGGTAGCATTCGAAATCAAAGCCCTTTAATATTAAAATCTGAAAGTGGAATATTGATATTTGGGGACCTTGGAATTTGTTCATTTGATGATTTCGAAAAATAGTACATCACGCAGTGAGTCATGAAAAATTAGCATTTTTGAAAGTAGGTCTCGGCTTATAAAATTGTGAGAAGTATAGTAGATACTTCGGCAGTAATCAAGAAGCTTAATTGCTTTGTGATACGGTTTAAAAATTCCAATTGATGGTGTGATAACATCGTGACGGAAGTTTTCTTCTATTGTGGTTTTCTTTCGCCGCATTCTATTCAGAATGATACCGTTAAACGCCAGTGTTTCATTCGAAGACGGAAAGTGGGTCTTTGTGCTCGAATAATCTGCTTTATAAATCTATTGAAGGAAAACGATTTTCATTGCTATCCATCATGCGACGTCTCGATAAATAAATACTATAAACTTTCATTAATAACTGTATTTACATAATTTTTAATTTTTATATAAATAAAACGAGATTTTATAATTATAAAATTATTACGAAAGTAACTCATCGAATGAAGTGAATAATTAACATGTTTTACTCCGCTTAATTATTGTTACCAATTAAATTAACAACTCTAAATATTGCATCACGCGATATCGCGTGTGCCATCTTACGATACGAACTGCTTTTAGCCAACAGCGCATATGTCAGGATCAATATTTGTCTATAACATTGTAAGTATTTAATACCGTTAAGGGTAAACATTTAAAGGCGAATAAGCGCTAATTAAAAAAATGTTGCAATACTTAATCTGTCCACGGATTAAATTATCTATAACGCCGAATATTTTAATCAGTATTTGTTTTCAAAGGTTAAATCGTTGTTTTTACTTAATTTTACACGATTAAGTATCGTACCATTATCACCCTCTACTATGGATATAATGATTTTGGGTTTCAGTTAAGATATTTATTTTATTAATAAAGAAAAGATACAATCGACAAGAGGTACTGATGATTTTTTAATGTTAATGTTTTTCGTTTGTTATTTGTGCAGATTTGACAGAATTATAAATTATACTATTTCGCTTATAATGAAGTGAATTAGATGTAAGTACATACATAGATATTACCATTGACTGTATAATGTATAGCTAATTATTTGGCCGGCTAACAAATGCTCTTTCTCGAAGAAAATCTGCTTCTGTTACCGTTCGCTGTTCAACTATTTTTGGTTAGACCACGACGTACAATCATACGATTAATATACCTATTTTGATGACTTGCTATTCAAATCGATCTTTTAGATACATAAATGGCATTCAAGTTAAAGGTTGTTTTTAATGCGCATATAAATGATATTCAAAAATTCTTTGAAATTCTTAACGTATATAATATTTTCGGAATTTTCTGAAAGACAAATTCTATACCTGTTGTTATTACATAAAAAAAGCATACATGTTATACCGGGACAAATTTGAAGTGGTTGAAAGAACGAAAAAATAGAAAGCAAGACATAAAAAAGTAGAAAGGTTAAAAAATAAACACGTAGAAATTAAGGTAACATTTGACAATTATTCGACGCCGAACATCTGATGATGCTATACTACGTGATCTATAGTGAATATTAGCGGTATCTGACAGGTAGAATCATTGCGTTTTTCCATTGACGTTAACGTTCGTGATTGGTCCGCCTCCCGGACGAAACGAACATACGATTCGTGAAACATCCAAATGCACCAATCAATGACTCGCGTTATGTTTAAAGGTAAACAATGAAATAGTTGAGTAATATCGTTAGATTTTATATTTTTTTATTGACCGGTACATCAATTGAATATACGATTTCATTATTATACCTTAAAAGTCTTAACATTCAAAACCGTAACATACGAACAACAATCACCTAAAAACGAGAAGAGTTCTTACATCCTGTCATGTCGTTACCGAAATCTATACAATATTTTAAAGTAAATACAATTTTTCTGTATTACTGAGTTTTCAATTTTTATATATACGTGTGTGCCTATATTTTAGACACACTATAGAAAAAAAAGTAAAACTATTTGTTAATAAAAATGTTTGTTTAACAAGGTTCTAAGTCAGTGAAAACGTTCGAACTATACATTTAAATATGTAAATAATTTATACGAAATAATCATTTTCCACGTTCAACCTAACGCGACGAAAATGTATATCGTCGTTCTATTAGGTCTTGAATTGGAATTCACCATTTAATTCTTTATACGCAGTTTGTTGTCTCGTTTAAAACATACCTGATTGTTTTTTAATTGGTATTTTATGGTATCTTCAAAAGTGTACGAGTTATAAAGTTGTAACTGTTGGTCTTTCACCCGGTTACTCCGCGTGGCACGAATGTTCTTATGATACTGACGATATATGCCGAGTTTACCGCGCTAATCCACAGACTTGTGTTGAACCGACAAGACTTGGAATCTGTTGTATGAAACAAACGGTAGTAATAGTGTAACGTGTGGCCGGGATTCAACGCTACAGAAATATACCGCGGTCATCGGAGAAGTCATTTGAAAAAACTTTTTACGTACCGTTTTAAACAAGTACAGAAAACAGATTCAAAAGTCACATTTATAATTTTACGAAACAAAGATGTATCGATTGCTATGTAAAAATATGTAAATACCATGTTTTTATAACACAAGAAGTTTATAACGTTTCTTTTTTCAATCATAAGTCTCTTTTTACCTATGTTTCAATTGTTTGTGACATAACCTCTTAACCTTACCGTGTTCTTTAAAAGTATGACATGAATGCCGTTGGATAGCTTATTTTTACATAATTTATTATGAATTAATTAAGAATATCGGTATTAAATTATTTTTCCTTCAAAATAGGGTGTGTATATATAGATATAATATGTAGAATAAATTAATTAAATAATGGGAACAAAAATGTAGAATTTCTTTTAAAATTGGAGCTCTCATCGCTTATCTTTCGGAATGTAAGCAAGATTATTTTAAAATCTTTTCACTGTGAGGTTCATGAACAAAAGACCTAACCTTACCCCAACCTAAGTTAACTACAATGTTTTGGTATAATACGCACAAGATTTGCTTCTATCGTGTTATGCACAACCCCGCTTGACAAACCAAAATAGCACGATTATGTTCGTAAATAAAGTACTTCAAGAAAAATAATTATTTAGATATACATTGTAGCATTTAAAAATATGTATCTACTCCTTTACGTTTCTTATTTTAAATTTAAAGCAAATGTAGATATTTAAAATAAAAAGTGACTTGTAGTTATTAAATAAATCATAATATTTAAACTGAAGTGGCGAATGGCGCGCATAGAATCTCAATTTTTTATGATACCTATACATGCGCAGAGGATAACAGTACACCTATAGGTTAAACAATTTTGATACGAGTAATTACTGGTGATCGCGCAAAATTGTTTAAAAGAAAGTCGTATTTAAGAGTTTAAAACCTTGACATTTCGAGCGATTAATCAAAATGCCAGGCACACCAATAAAAGAAGAAAACGACACATTGGAAAAGTTACGAACAATAGAACGTCCTCCGATAACAAACCATGAACCTGCTGTACGGGAAATTACACAAACCGATAGATTGAATAAAAAGTTATTGGTGTCGCTTTTGGAACGAATGAATAAATCAAGCGGAGAATTTGATAAATTTATGGAAGAAGCTAATACCAGTTATGATTCTCAAAATGACAACGAGTTTTAAGTAAAGTATCAAATGCATTTGTTGTAAAACATAACCAATATACTATTGACGGTCAGGGATACCGTTACGCACAAATACTGCCGAAAGAGGAAAAGCTAGGTTTAAAAATTTGTACTCATACACTTATATTCACAAAAGTTTTTGAAGAATTTTACTGTTCAGTGAACAATTACTATTTCTTATATATAAAAAACAAGTGAGGAGCAATTTGTTGAATATGCCAATGCTGTCGAATACTTCTGATCATGATGAAGATGAAGATGATATATTAGCTGAATATGAAAATAAAGATTCTGATGAAGATCAGGTTGATGTTAAAAAAAATGAAGATATTGGTTCAGAAAATGAAGAAGAAACTGCCCGAAGAGTTGATCCAACAACATCCGTGAAACATGTTGTAAGAAATCCTATACCTAAATTAAATACAGAACGTCTGAAAGGCCCTAAAGGAATACATACAATCGAAAAGTATTTTGAAGGTTTTAAATTTCATGGAAAAGGATATGAGAAATTAGATTTAGATAGAGTCATGAAAAGGATGGAGCATTGGGGACATAGACTATTCCCTAAATTAGACTTTGATGATTTTCTTGAAAAAGTGGAGAAATTGGGTTCTAAAAAAGATCTTCAGGTGTTTATTAAAAAATATCGACAAGATATGATAAGTGCAGATGATAATCTGACTACTCAGGATGATATGGATGCAGAAGAAGACAAAGAGCAAGATGAACCTATTGATGAATTTGATATGCTAATTGCTGAGCAAATAGAGAAACAAAAACAAGTTATGCAACAATCAACATTGTCTGATACATCCATTAATAATGAAGATACATTTAATGCATTATTGTCACAGTCTAATGTCACCAAGAATTCACAACCAGCAAATGTGAATTCTGCTTCACAATTGAGCGATGAGATGAAAGAGCGTATAGAACGAAATAGGCAACAAGCTATTCAAAGGAGACTTTCAAGACTTAAGGAAATTGAAGAAGCTAAGAAAAAGAAATTAGAAGATGCAGAAGATTCGCAATTTGAAAATGATTCATTTACCACACAAACATCTAAAATATCTCAAAATTCAGAAAGCAAAGAATGTGAGATTAATTCCCAAATAAATGAAAATCATGGATCTTGAAATAAGAATATTACTATACGATTTATAATATGATTATGAAAAGACTTTCTAAGTATTATTGTAGAATTTAGGAGACATGTTTAATAAATGATTTATTATTAAAAACTAAAGAGACTTATTTAACCTAAAATAAATAAAACTTTATACGAATTATATATTTATTTTTAGTTAAGTTCTACGCTTTTGTGTACTGATATATAATACATTATTTCCACGAATAAAAGCATCACCATATTTATCTTTTAATTGACCATTTACATATTCTTCTGTTTGTTCAAGTGCTATGTTCATGTAACCATCAAGACAAGCTAAAACACCTGTAAAATAATGATTAACTTATTAATAAAATGTTTGTTATTTCATCAAATTTTGTTAAGGATTAAACCTTTTACCTCTATAATCTACGCCACTATTTAGTTTTACAACAACAGGACGTCCATGAATTTGTTGAATAAACTGAGATAATGCCTCTTTACGACTCATCTGTAATTACAAATGAAAAAATAATGAGAATAAAGTATATATTTAATACATGTATGAAATGATATTCTCAAAAATAGGTTAGGATTGATATTTTTATTTTTAGAGTAACTAGGCTTTACCTTACAAATTTTAATCTCGTCTACAATACTTTATTTGTAAAATTTGATACACTGCACACGTTTTAAAATTATACGATTTTATCTGTTTACAAACAGTAATTGAAAGCGGCTATAACTTTTTACTGTTGGCAGATTTCAGTACTGCAAGTGTATTAACAGTGAATTGCATGAATATGTTAAAAATGACATGTATGTTTATCAGATAAATTACATTGAAAACATTAAATTACATTGATACATTAGATGTATCAACAAAGAACATTGTTAACGCATCTGTACTTGCAGAACATTTTATTAATACTGTTTATTATTGAAGTAAGTAACCAATCAAATTGCAAATACAATTCGTGAGTTAAAGAAAAAGATAGAATTCCACTGTTCTATTCTATCATATTATATTCTATTATGTCTGTAAAAGATTAGTAATCATATTTGTTAATGAAAATACCGAAAACAACAGTAAATCAAAATTACAATATTGTATACAAATATATAATTCAAACATTTATCGTTACAATAATTTGTATTTTGCGTAAAATAATGTATTATTTTGACTATATTACATCTTTAATATTCGCATTAAATATTATACGTCAGAAATGTCAAAGAGATAGTTTATAATATTCTTTCATTACATTTAACTGTGTGTATTCATTTATCGCGAAACATTCAGTATAATGAAAACAAACAATTTAGATAAAGTTTTTTCGTTGTTGCAATATTTGGAATGAAAATGTACAGTTTTAAAAGATTTGCCACCCTGAAGAGAAAGTGGAGAACGGCTTATTTATTTGATTTGTGATTACGACAAGTGCAATTATATAAATCGCTGTCTCCGTATTTCGTTGATGGGAATACTTTTTTTAAATTGAATTTTATTAATTTATTATTATTATGTTGTATTGGTTACCAAAGAAACGCTTTAAAAAAAGGTATTCGGTATTTATTTATCTAATTCTTTGTTCTTGTTTTGGATTTGTCATTTATGACACAATACTTAGGACACCAAACAATATTAAGATTGTCAATAAACCAGTATTATCAGTTAAGCTTAAACTATATTTAATATAATAATAAAGTGTAATTATTACCACTATGTTAAAAAATATTAATTTATATTAACAAATTTTAAAATTAGAATAAAGTATTGCATTTAGCAGAATATGGTATGTATAAATGTTTCACAAAAGTATTTATTTAACTTAATTTTATATACTTGTATAAACTTATATAATGTAATGATTTAACATTTGTTTATAACTTGTCACTACTGATATAGACATATGTCATTATCAGTATGAATAAACATGTTTTGCTGTGAAATGTAACTTCTATATGTGGATATAATTACACTTCTGTAAATATAATAAATAATTATATTGCATCTGACCACTTGTATATAATAATAGCTTGCAAGGACTTTAACACAAGTAAATTATATTAAAAGGGGATATTAAAAAGGTGCTGTAAGTTTGATAGCTACTAACAAATATGCAATCAACTTTTCTACTATCAACAATATTGCCTGCTTCCACCATTCTTGATAATTGGTATTTTGGAATGTAAGTTACTTCATTTAATGTCTGTTTTGTGAATTTTCTTTTATATTCTAAATAAAATCACAAACTTATTAAAAATCTCTTGGAAATGTAGAACTAAGAAATGCAATGAAACTTTCAAATTTCTTTGTATCAAAGAGAAGGTACCCTCATTTTAATATTTTAACAAAGTAGTTTTATTGTTGAATAAGTAATAAGTGAACTGTACTCTAAATATTTATATATTAAATAAACTAATAATTAGACTAACAAAAATAACTAGTGAATCAAATATTCATAACTGAGTAGAACTATTTTATTTAGAACTTGCATATTTTGTATAGAATGCGTGATAAATATCTTTGAATTTATATTTTCATTATTTAAGTTTTTTTTTTATGTTTTAATCTTTTAAGTTATTAACTTTTTTATTATAGTACACAAGATGTTGCAAAAGAAATAAAATAATGGAACTTATATGAAAATGCATTATAAAATAACAAGTAAATTTTTGATATTTTTCATTGAGTATATGGAAAAAAGAATATTCTATACATACAAAGTTCAATTTACATAGTTTTGAATTGCATTTTACATGAGCAGTTATTAAAGTAAATGCATTAAATAATGTGCAGTAATCATCATTTAAATTGTAAATATACACGTCAACCTCCTATCAAATTAATAAGGTATAAACTTATACATTTTATCATGTTTTTATACTTTATTAATGGTCATAAATGTTAGAAAGAGATCATTATATATGCTTGTGTCTATGATAAGCATTTGTATATTTAAAATTTTGTATTTTGGATTTGTAATTAATTTTCTCTACAGTAAGCAAAATCAAAAGTTTTTTTTTAGGTAAATACAAATTTTAAGAAATAATACATTATTTTTTCTGGTTTGTTTATAATATAAAATTTTAAACATATAACACTGATTACAGACACCTAATTTGGGTGATGGCAGTGTCCTTAATTATATACTTTATAATATTTGGAATTTTGCCTATTATATTTCATTACTCTTGTGCTATACAAAAGAAGATATTGTTTTTAAATTTTGGTAAGTAAACAAATTTTTAAAAATTTTGTAAGAAATATAAAATGTAAAATATTTAATACTTTTTTTTCAAACATCATTAATTTTATATTTTCAGTGCAATGGCCACTTAATGTAAATTTTTCAAACCCAGAATCAGTTGGTATGAAAGGAACAAGAAATTTTTATTTAACAACAAATCAGCAAGTAAAAATAGGACTATGGTTAGTAATTACATACAATTAACTTAAAATTATGTAAGTAATGTTACCTATGTTACATGATAGTAATATGTAAAATATATTTTTAGGCAGGTGTTACCTCAATCCCTATTAAATGATTCTGCTATCACAACTGATGATGATTATGAAGCTGTTTTAAGAAATGCTACACGACCTGTTTTTCTATACATGCATGGTAATAGTGGTAACAGAGCAAGTAACCATCGGTTAGAACTTTATAAACTATTTCAGTCTTTAGATTACCATGTTATATGCTTTGATTATAGAGGTGGGCATATAAAACTTTAGGGTCAGAAAATGAAAATTATAATTACTTATAATTGTATAATTTATAAATGCAGGTTATGGTGATAGTGAAGAAGCAGAGCTCTCTGAATCAGGAGTAGTTATTGACAGCAAATTTATCCTTGAGTGGTTGCTAGAAGTAGTGAATAATACAGCTCCTGTTTTTGTATGGGGACATTCCTTAGGCACTGGGTGAGAGTTTATTTCATAATAGAGTAATATTTATAGTAGTAATATTTATAAATTTTATTGTCTCTTGTTTGTAGGGTTTCTACTCATGTATTAGCATTATTAGCAATTGAAAATATACAGCCTGCAGGGTTGTTTCTAGAATCACCATTTAATAATATTGCTGATGAATTAAGTGAACATCCTCTGGCACAGGTATTTAAGATGTTAAATATAAAATAGCATTTCAATAACTCTGTTATATCAAATATGTTGAAAATATGTCTTTAAATTTTAAAGGTGTTTAAACATTTACCATGGTTCCATTGGGTAATTGTTGAACCATTTTACAATAATTTTCTTCGATTTGAATCAGATAAACATATTGAAAAGATTCAGTGTCCAGTAATGATATTACATGCAGAAGATGATGGTATTGTACCATTTTCTTTGGGTGAAAAGGTATAATATTATTTCTGGATACAAGTTTACAAAACATTATAATATTAATATTATAATAAACTTGATGTATATGTATATGTTATTAGTTATACAAAGCAGCTATAAATTATCATGGCAATAGTACAAATTGTATTCAATTAATACGAATAGATGCTTCGTATGGTCTCGGTCATAAATATATATGCCGCTATAAGGAATTACCTAATATCATTAAGTAAGTATTAGTTGTGCTTAAGTCATTGGCAATACTAATAACTTATTAATATTTATATCACTTTTTCAGAACATTTATAGCTGAAGCACATAAAAAGCATTAGTTAAATTATTTAATAAAGAAAATGTATCACTTTCTTATAGATATTTTTTATGGTAAATGTCAGTATTTAAACAGTGTGAAATAAAAACAGTTAGTATTTTATTTCATTAATATCTTTAATGAAATTCAGTAGTACTATAACATTTTGTGTAAATCCAATAATTTTTATTGCTTGAATTCTATAGTATGTATAATTTGTTAAACACGCAATTACATCATCTATTTGAATTCTACATTTAAAATACATACACATATTAAACATGAAGCAATAATAAGTGTTTCATTTGAACAACGAAAATGTAGAGATTTGTACGTATATTATGTGTAAGACAATGTGGTGTGAGATTGAAGTTAATCCTGTGATAGCTATTTTATGCCATCAACAGTATTTATTATTTTATATATTTCAACCAATTTGTATCAAATTTACAAATTAATGAATACTCAACTTTGCTATTACTTTAAATTGTACCGTATGTCAATTTTATACATGTATGTATTATCTTGTTTACAACATTGTAGTTATTGTGGCAGTATATTGCACGCCTTTACATAAATGAAATAATTAAAGAAAACAACAAAGCAAATGTTGAATGTATTTGAAAATCACATTGTGTTTATTTCCATATCAAAACCATGTAATTGTGAATTATTATGTACAAATACATAGTCGAATATATTTCTTGAATCTTACTATAGTTTGAGTATGAATTTAATATACCTTGGTGAAACTGTAACATGTTTTGAAAATACTATAAGAACTAATAATGAATTGTCAATCGTTCCAAAACTGATTTTACTGTTTTAATATTGTAGAAATAATATACGACAAAGTGTTAATTAAGAATGAAATATTTTCTTATTTGTATATATATAATGTATAATGTAAACAGCGTATAGGTTAGTAAAGTGGAGTTGCAGAAATACAACAATGATAATTGTAATAAAAATAACTACATAAATGTGAAATTATTATGATATTTGTAAAACAAGTTTATTTCCGTGAAATAGAATATTAAAAAAAAATCATTGAAATGGAGGAACAAAGTATTTTAACATCAAAAGCATATAAACGTGCAGAGGCAAATTTAAAAGACAAATTAAAACCAACATTTTTAAAGCATTATCCTCATTATTTAGTACCAGGATATAATTTACACAACAATTTGTTTGTGGATGAGGCAGATTTAGAAATTATTGTAGAACAGTATCGAGATTACCCTTACCACTGTGATTTACCTAAACCTTTATTGCCTCCTGCTAGATTACCAAGAAGTGGTAAGCATTTTAATTTTTCAACATAATACTTTATTAAGTTTTCAATAGGACAAATAATAACTGAATTATAAATTATAACTGAATATATAAATTATGCAGTACTAAATGAAGAAGACCCAGTATTGGAATTGGTTACTGTTAAAAATCATATAAATGATGACATAAAAAGAATGAAACATTATTATTCTAAGCATGAGAAAGGTATTTTATATTTTAGTGAACATATTGAAATTTACAAAAAATCCTGTGATCATGAATTAAAATATTTGCATAGACTTAAAGTTAATATATAAAAAAGATGTACAATGGAAACATGATAAAGGTACAGATACTGCTAAAGTACCAAAATATCTAGCAGATCTAGCTGGAACAATGGACAAGGATCCAGACCCTTATTTTGAAGGGGTAAGGTAACTCCATATATAAAATTATTATATTACAGTAAAAAAAACAAATTGTTTTAGGTTTATAATTGGTACTATTCTGGTGGCACACTAGATTATGTACAGTATCATGATAAAAATATCTTACTTTTTCCATTTATGGGAGATTTAGGTATAGCTACCATAAATTAAATATAAATTATGAGAAAATATAAATTATGCTGTAATTTTATTATGATATATTTACAGTAAGTGCACCTATTGAAAATGTGGAAGAATTTTTATGGAAACCTTTATTACAAAAGGGAGCAAAATGTGAACTTGATGGAACATTGTATGAATTGAAACACATTATTAATAAAGATACATGTATGATTTTGGGCAGATACAAACATCATTGTAATTTTTATACACTATCTGAATATGATAATAAATGCAATCTTACTGAGATTCATATGCAACCATCAAAAGTTCCTTATGTTAGTGCAGATCTACATTTAATTAATAAGAACCATTACTGTACAGCAAGTGCAAAAAGATCTGTAATATTATGGGATATAACTAAAATGTATGTATAGTAATGTGAGTATATGTGTTGTGTAGAAATAAGATTCATATTTGTTTTTATTTTTGTAGGAAAGGTATAAGCTGTCATTCTGTACAGCAAACTACTGTAACAGATGATGTATGGGCAAATGTGAAGTTTCAGTTAATTGATCCAGATATTATTTTATATGTAGATAGATGTTGTCTTCATTATCTTGATACTAGGGTAAAAGCATTTTTATTAATTGTTCTTCAAACATTTTCTACACGATATATTGATTCAAATTGATAACAAGTGCACACAATATATTATAGCTTCCATTTGAACGACCAGTATTAACATTATGTCCAAAATCTCATTTGGAAAAATGTGAAAGTCTGTCATTAGATGTTGCCAGTAGAAATACTTTTTGTAGATATATTGGAACTTATCACAGTGTCTTAATGTGTGATAGTCGTTCGCCTAAACAATGCGTTCAACAAAAATGGACACATCAATTCAAAGGGCCGCCACTTATGGGTCATACCGTAAATAGGTACAAAAATTTACTTAGCTATTTGTTTAAATACATTTGAATATAATTAAAACAAGAAATACACATAATAACTATTTTCAGAGAAGACAAGGAGTTTCTTATGTTATCTAGTCAAATATCTGGTGAAAGTACAATAATTTTAAATACATGGGCGAGCGATATAATTACACATTCGTTTAATTTTCCATTTATCCCTCCAAATATTATGGAAACGCTGAATGAATCTCAAATGCAGGGAATGTGCCTGAATCCATATCTAAGAGATAGATTTGAATTATGCAATAGTGGTTGTTATATGATTGAAAATAGCGTGGGAGATATATTTTTATTTTTTCAAAATTCTGTTGGTACGTGTATTATCTTAGTACTATGTATTTTATTTGTATAAAATTAAATGTAAATATATTCTTAGGTGATATATTTTATCAATGTATAACGCATGATACTGCATTAAACTCTTACTCCTGTGTAAACTCTAAGTCATATTGCATTCTGAATTCTTGGGAAAAAGCAATATCAGTGCAACCAGATACTATAGTGCCTCTTACTATGTCCGAAAAATCGAATATGCAACATATTTTTGAATGTAAGTAATCCTTAAAATAATGCTTTTATCAAAAGTGATTCTGTGTATTTTATGTATGTATTAACATTGCAGGTTTCACCAATAAAAAATTAAAGTTAAAATGTACAGATCATGACTCAGATGACGTTGAAATGAGTTGGAAGCAATCTCTTGAAAAATTAAATTCTTACACGGATTTGTTAGCACCTGAACTTTTAGTTGTGTGGGATGTAGGTGAAACAGTTCCATTGCCTTTAACGGCTGCACCTCATGAAAAAGTTTTGAGTTGGTTGAAGTCTGCTGACACAAAACAAGAAATATTATCGCAAGAAGAATTAGATAACGTGGCAACGCCAATGAATAGCCAAGAATTAATAAGCGTGTCTCAAGAAGTAGACATAACTCAGCTAGATGACAGTAATGCATTACAAGAACTGTTCTTACCTAAAGTTACAACACAATCTAAAAAAAGAAATATACGAAAAAAATAAAAGTATATACAGTATTTCGATATACGTATTACTTGTTTATTTATTTATAGTAAAAATTGTACAATAATTACATGTAATATGCATTGACAAAATGAATGAACATGTTAATAATAATTTACAAGTTTTGTAATCTACAACATTGCATTTTGCGATACGATTTAGCGGAAAGATGGTTTCCACTTCGACGTAAGAGCTTTAGTACTCTCTTGTTGTGCTTTACTTTCTTCTTCTTCCATTTGCATCTAAAAACATTGAATAATTTATAAATATATTTAGTTTATGCAATACTAACAAAAAATATCAGTTTAATTGTTACCAATAATTTTCGTTGATTTTCTCTAAAAACTTGTAATGGATTATCGAATTGCCTATAATAGTCGAGAACTTCTCGTACATCTTCAACGTTCGTTGCTAATATAGCTGAAAAATATTTATTCCGTGAGGCCGATTATGTAATAGTTTATTTGCATGCATAAAGCAAATATAAATTTGTTGAAAGAAACATACTTTTTAGGAATGCAGCTAAATCATACATTGTTGTATCATCGTCATTTCCAGTCCACTGGGGTAATTTTAACGTATTTTCAGGGTGAAATTTTGTACTTTGCGCATTCCAGTCAACTACTATCACCTGTGAAGTATTAAATTAAGCATGTATTTAACTTATATACAAATCATAAATTAAGTTACTTACTTTTCTGAGATCACGGTTAAGAGCATCTAAATCTTTAACGTGATGACCATCTACAAAACGTGTTGTATCTCTCACTAATCTGTACATGATATATCCATTAGGATCTAAGATATCCAAAATAGGGAAAACAGTCTAAAAATTTAATAAATAAATAATATATCAAAATAATATAAATTATTTTTCAGTAATAATCAAGAATACTCACCATTCCTTGCTCTGCTGTATATACAACAATTTCAAATTGTGGTGGAGCTACTGCTTCTAGAAACTGGTCCACTCCAGGTCGTTTCTTAAACCTCCAACCAGTTTCATACTATATTATCAATCAATACAAATAAATGTTTGTATGAAATAACATCAGATACATTTCAAAAAATATATTACTTACTGTCCAATCAGGATGCACAAGTACATCTGTTAATTCTAATACCAAAGTGTATGGTGGCTGAATGTAAGGATACTTGAGGGGATCTGGAAGTAACTTATCTCTACTAGGTTCTTGAACCATCTGAAATAATTAGTCCAATAAAAAAATTAAGCAACTTAAAACTTCTGCTTAAATTTACTATAAAATTTAATAAATAGGGATTGTTGATACCTTAGAGTAATAAGTAAATTCTCTTCTGAGCATTTTATAAATTCTTTCATAGAACGGTAAATTTGAAAATTCATCTTCAATAATATTTCCATGTTCATCGTATTTGGACCTTGTTAAATTATATATTATATAGGACAATCCGACAGTGGTGAATACTCCCAAAAATGTAAAACTATATTTAAGTAGCCTTTGTGATTGCTCTCGTCTTTCTTTCTCTTCTGCTTCTTCCTTTTGTTCTTCGTCTATTTTTCTACTATCTAATCCATCTTGTGTTAGAGATTGTACAGTTCCTCCAGCAGATTGTATATTTGTTAAACTACCTGTTATTTTTGGTCTATGCGCTATAAAAACATTAATTTATTAATCATTTTCATTACACCAACAAATATAAACTTTACGCTCAAAATCTTGTTATTCAACAAATTACTAATGCCACGACTATCAAATTAAGTTTTCTTTTATCAAAATATAATAATTCAAAAATTCTATCTCAATGAACGTAGGAACTACGAATGTTTCCATCCTGAAAGGTTATGTTTCACGCATTTACTTACTCTCAGTGTTATAATAATGCCTTTGTGTCGTTTGAGCAACTGATATTCGAACGATCGGCACGCGAAGTGCCGAATATACACTTGCTCTACTTCCATTGTATACTTTATATAAGTGCCGCAAACTTTTTATTGCAAGCGCCATTCCTTGAAACAGAACATAGGCTTCCTGGCAGATGTATGCAAAGACCTCCTGTTCGTATTTTCAAGCATGTTTAACATTGTCGATGTTATAGAGATCTAGCTTTCCAACGTATCTGAAGATAGTTTCGATAAATCTACAAACCCTTTCCGGTTATGCCTACGCATTGAAATGAGTCTTCGATTTGAATTCTAATACTTTCAAAAAATAATCTATTACACAAATTCTTTGTTAAAAAATAATCTATTACACAAATTCTTTGTTTAAAAATAATCTAAATTTTCAAATTAATATTTCTTTTACATATTAGTTCATTTTAATAAAAGAGGGTTGATTGTTAGTTGTATATAAATTAATGGTTAAGAAGTTGAAGGCAAATGAGGATCAGTATGTTGTTTAATCAAAATTGTCAGTAGTGTATCGATTCATACGTAAATTTGAAAAATTTTGAAGTTAATTAATTTTTATTATAACATGATGCAGTTAGACCTAATTCAATTCTACATTTATACTTATGTTACTATTCTTCCATTATAAAAAATTGCTTAAATGTATATTCATCAAATGTTGTTGGCAAATGCTATTTGCTATTGTTCGAAAGGTTGACATTATATGTAGCTTGACAGTTTTTCATCTAACAGTAGTTTGTCACGCCAGTCTATATTGGATTAATAATTATTTAATTGGCCGAAATAAAGCCGTCTCAACGCGTTGCGCCGCACCGGTAGCCGAAGCCTTTTCCGGTTTAATCAACTTCAGGAAGTTTGCTAGTGGCGGGTAGTTGTCGGGTCAGTATATGCATTCTATACTAGCCAGGGGAATTTTGTGGACATCGTGCGGTCAACCGCTCTAATATTAATAGCCGGGGTATGAAATTTGCTTAATCATGACTAACGGGATGACCCAATGGAATGACAATAATTTGCCGGTGTTCATTGGTCGTGTCAATCTCGAGTAACGATCGTTACGAAATTTTGACCATTGCGAAATTATTCTGCTTCTGTACAATAACATTAATATTAATCAATATTACCTTCCTTCAATTCTAATATTAACACATTCGGAACTAAGCTACAGAATGGCACAAATCTGATATTACTGTGATGAACATAGAGAACATGATTATATAAAAATTTACAATTTTCTAACTTTGAAAGTTTCTAAATTTGTATCAGGCTTATGAGATGGACTAGTCCATATTTTACGGTGAATCTTATACTTACTTACAAGTAGTTAGTTAGTTAAATAGATGCTCATAAACACTGTGTAGAAAAATCAAGACAATCAAAACTCCTTGCACTAATTCACCCTCTATTCGCACTGCTTGAAGTTACACTCGTACCACCCACCTTTCGGTCCTAAAGTGACACCAATTTATTGCCGAATTTTTCTGGGATCTCCCAGGTCACCGTTTAAATTTTTGTCGCCGCGAACACGCGAGATAAACTCGTCCGCTGTTTGTGTCAGCTGCTGTTAGGAGCGTAATGAGAGGTGCCATAACGTTAACGACCGAACGCATACATTCGAGCAATTACGTCGCTCCAACTAATTTCTCTACCCTGGACAAACTTGAGGAATTCCATTCTGCGGATCGCGCGCGCGCGCGTGTTTAAAGGGCTGAAGGGGTTGTCGAGGTTGACCATTTCGTCGGATCCCGCGTTTCTACACGTACACACGCGAGGTACAAACACCCTGTCGCGCCCTTCAGTAAGCCGGGATGCAGCCAAGAGGGTTGTTTGTCAAGAGAATTTTCAGCGGTGAACACGCTGGCCAACGAGTATTACGGGTTGGATTAATTCCTAACAAAAATATGTGAAATATTTTCACGGCGCGGACGAGAAGCACACGCACAGAAAGGGCGCAAAAAGGCCGCGTACACATCGTTTGCAGGACGTTGCTCTGCGAGCTTCGTGTTTTGCTTTCGGATTGAGCGGCAAGGTTTTCGCGACAAATTGCCTTCGGGCGACACACCTATTCTTCCGTATGATATTCACGTTCTCATACTCTGCTACGCTGATCGCTCTTTGTCACGAGGATCACTGGTATTCGCTGGCAAAAATTCGCGCTTTAAACAAGTGGTGACACCGGGATGTGCTCTTGTTTTTTGAGATGGGAAAATTAATTGAAAGCGTATTAGCATAACCAAGAGCAGTGTGCAACTAAACTACATATATAAATATGTATGTATATCTATAAAGATCACAAAACATATTTATATTCTAAACGAGCTATCACTTCTTTATAATATGTAACAAATTATTAACACTAAACCTACCGGCATGTAATGTGTACTTAATTTGAAATTAAAAATGAAGTTAAAAAATAAATAAATAAACGACGAAATATAAATTAGTACACACATTTATTCTTTACTTTGATGAAAATCAATGCTGATTTCAAGGAATGTACTTTAACAAAATATGCATCTTATAATAAGAAACTTGTGGAGCGGTCATCTGACCGGTTTGGTTGTTTTAGTGTTAAGATATTACACTTCCACTGCAAATGTAAATGTGCTGATACAAATAGATCAGAAGTGTCTTAATGCTTATGAAAGGTATAATAATTTATGTTGTCGAAGAGGGTAAAAAAGTAGATATTGAGACTCATCCCGTTTTATTAAACACTGAATATACACATAATGTTCGGTGACTCGTGCAAAAGATAGGAAGGAAAGGAAGTTCGCATAGCGACGCTTCTTAACGTCGAGATCTATAAATGTCCCCCAACCTAGGTAGCATGTAAATGGAAGAAAGCGTCATTCCAGACGATACTCGTGTCTCGTGCACTCGGACCCGGTGCTATTTGCACGCGTCCGTACGTCGCGTCGTCTCGCGTCGAAAGATTTCCGAACGAAATTCCTTCTCGGCGACCGGGAATAGTCGGAGTCATTCAAGCTCCCGGCGTTCTATTCAACAGAAGGCGAGCTTCCTTTTTCCCCTCACGATTCATTCGTTCGCGAGCAAATCGACGACGATTTACCTTTCGAAAGTGGTCGATCTCCTACGAGAATGAGAAACGTAACGTAGGAAAGCAGATTTACAATGTAAATCGACTCGTCGACTTCCCTTTAATCTTTTTTCCCTTATTACCGCTCGTTAGTTCCTCCCCTTAAGCGTCGATCATAATTGACCAACCTAAGTTTCCAGCCACGTTCGAGTACACGAATTACATGCATTGAACGACGTACGCAGTGGCGTACTTACGTTAGGATTAGGGATGGATCATTACCTAATTTCATGTGAACATCTTTACAAATTTTGATGTTAATGTATTGATCATTTTTAGATTCTCAAGTTTTCTGGTATTCTCTTTCTAAGTTCTTGAATTTTTATGAACAAAAATTCCACATTCTCTAATTCTAACATTCTTAAGTTTCCAAATTTCCGAATTTCTATATTTTTGAATTTCCACCCCCTAATTTCAATACACCTAAATTCTCAAACCTACTTTCAATAATCCCAAATTTCCACTTTTCTTAATTTCAGTGTATCTAAATTTTTATATCTCCTACTTCTAACACTTTTAAATTTCCACCCTCAAATTTCTACACTAATATTTCCACTCCCCCTAATTTCAATATTTCCAAATTTCCAAGTCTTTCACCTCCTATAATCCTAAGTCTCTACATCCCCTAATAGCAATATTGTTAAATTACCAACTGGCTCAATTTTTAAACCTACCTCCCTTTTCAAAAATTTAAAAATACTCAAACGTCAGAATTCATCAAAAGATGTCAAAGTGATCTCAGAGTGATCAAACTCGAAATTTTCAAATTTGCAGAAGTTAAATGATTTGAAAAGTCGAGCCGCACCCCATAGAGGAGGAGTAGTTACGCCAATGTCGAGACGTGGCGAAGGTAGGGGGTTGTAGCCGCGAAAGGGAGCATTTGGCGTAATCGAAGTATCGCGTGCTGCGTGGTTGCCGCGGAACGATAATTCCATTACGCGAGAGAACAAACGTAGCTACATACGTACCGCGAAGGCAGGACATTTTTATCGGCTACGATCTGATATTTCGTCGATCACCTCTGTTGGCCGTTGTAGAGGCGCGTGCGTGAGATACGCGAGTAATTCTCCTCGCGTGGGAAAGCAACGTTTCGAGCCGCATAAATATAACGAGAGGAACGTAGCTGGGAACACGCTCTCGCGGTAGCTTCTCCTTGATAGCTCGTCCGGCAGAAACGAGTCTCTCTACACTATTAATTCGGCTGACATGGAAAAAGTTTTCCACTTAATTTGAAGTATAATCTTATTTTGTCTCTCTGTTTTACCCGCGCAATACGCGGGAAATTCGTGGATCGTTATATTATATAATTCTCCGAGGCTTCGACGCGAAAGCCACCCCTTAAGGCCGAACTTTCTTAATCCGAAGTAAACCAAAGCACGGATAATACAGCTTCCACGGCCATTCAGAGACTTTAATAATCTAACTTTTCGCGAGACTCTGCGTGAACTCACTTTTAACCGAAAAATTGCTTTTCTCCCACCCTGCACGGGGGAGGAACAGGCACTTACGTGTATCATTCTTTCCAACGTGGTTTAAAGCTGACAGAAAGTACTTGTTTAATGCGTTTACTGTCTTCGTTAAACGTCCACCTTTATTTTTCTGCGGAACTTGTATCAAAGTTCAATGAATAGCAAAATTAAAATAAGCTTCAGTCAATTAGTTATTACCTAATTTCATAAGAAGCATGTTTCAAACTGGTTTCATTTGTTGAACCTTCCTAAGTATACATTTACTATAACAACCAGTGGTCACATACACAGACATTGTCTTTCTCTAACGTATTACTAATGTTCTCAAAATTATTTTTACTTAACCTCGATTTAAAATGTCATATAATTATGTTCAGAAAACTGGATTAGTTTCTCTAAACTGAAAGAAAGTCGCACCTTAGAAAGGATACCGCTAGTATACACACTGCATACAAATTTCATAAGGTACACATGTGGCGCGACACTCCAGAATTTCAAGCCGTCACGTTCAAACTATTTATTATTTTACAGCCAAAAAACTACTGAATATTCTTTACGCGTTCTGGAATGAGGGCCAACGA